GGTCCAAGTAGCAACGATATTCACACGTGTCCCTGTCAATCACACTGATGTTTGTAATGGTGTGGTTAATGAGACGTTCTCCCATGAAGAACAAAGTGGATGGAAATGCCAATATACGGCATTGATCTAAAAATTCAAATCAGTAAAAGTTAAAAAGTGAAAGGGGTCATCAATCCTGAGGGTCACATGTGTTTTTAGTTCCCCTGTTCGATGCACGAGTAACGATAATTAAGACATATTCCCTAAGTTACCAGAGTTCAAGTTGTATTAACAGCAGCATCGGATAGGCTTTTTTCGAGCCTGGAAGATCGCTAAAAGACGATTTTATGGCCTCCAAAAGTTGCGAAGTGCAACATTGATGAGCCCAAACTCTGATGAAAAATTCGTCCTCAAAAAACTGCAATTAAAGTTTAGTGTTATGAAATAGGTAAGACGTTTCAATCATGAACTTCCAGCTTTTTAAAATTATTTCAAATCACGATTTATTATCAAGGCTATTATAACCAAGCGCGCGTTTGCAAGTCCTACCAAACTCCTGATGAGCTATTATGATGTCTCGACGTAGGCATGGCCGAGCATATATAACACGAGGTTTGCAATTCACTTAAGCAGGTAGGTTCCCGTCTGCCCTCTCCGAATGGTTTCAAAACTATAAGACTTTTTTTCTGTTCCATTTCAATTGAGATACACCTTTGATAGCTAATACGTGTTAAAAAAAAAAGAAAAAAAGAGAAAAAAAAATTCTTTAGCTCCGTCAATCTACGAAAACACCTTTGCAGTTAACGGTTTTTCGTTCCCAAACGCTCCACGAGTTATGGCCGTGAAGAAGGAAACGGAGCTTTCTGACCTCAAGTAAGGCTTTGCGACTATGGAAACTCTTTTCCAGAACAGTAAGTATTCTTTGAGTGACAAGTTCCAAAAGCGTTCTTGAATTGAAAATATTGTTTCAAAATTACAGTTTTCAGAATTTTCAAATTTTCAGCAAACAGCGACACATTCTAGCTGTTAGCATTCTGGTAATAATAATAATAATAATAATAATAATAATAACAAAACGAATCCAAAATGCTGAATTGATTATGCGGGTCTCGCAAATGCCGGGAATTCTTTCGTTTTCCGCTTCAAAGAAGCAAATTTAGCTTTTCTTTAAATTAAGCTTTGGTCTCTAAGTATTTATTGGCCGTTTTCGCCTTGCCTTTTATTGTTAGTTTTCGCGTAGAAAGCGATTACGGGCTGAACCCGATTCAATCGTACTAGAAATTTCTAGTGCACAAGCTATATCATCTATGTTAT